TGCTGGCCACCCACCCCCCTCGTGTATCTTGCCAGCCTTCATAGGCGCTCGCTAACAGCACTTGTCCCCAAAAGTGTGTTGCAGGCTACACGGGTGACCTTTGTCTAGCGAGTGTAAAAATCGCCGCTCTCGTATCGGCTTCGGTGTCGCATTCCTCAACGCAACACATATTGGTTATTGGACTTGCGGTGTCCGGTTTCCCTTCGGGGACGCTGTGCCACCCCAACGGGGTGTAATGGGTGAGCACCCACTGGGCTTGCAATGTGGGGGCGTCGCAGGTTCCCATTCGATGTCAGCTGAAACGATGGTGCAAGTTTCTTAAATTCCTCCCCACACACCCCCCTCCCCTCCCCCTTCTTCCTCCACCTCCACTCCCCAACCCGTCCGCCTCCGTCCGTCCAGCGGCGTAAACGGGCTGCGCCGCGGTCAGACGATTCGATCGGCAGGTCACGCGCGGTGGGGTAAAGCGTGGGCGCTCTCGCCGCCTCTTCCAAGAGGTCTCGCGGGAGAAGTGGACCCAAAAAAAACCTCTAGATTTGAAGCTTTCGTGACTGCAAGGATTCATATTCGTAGGTTTTTTTGGTAAAGTCACGTAGGTAAAAAATTATAATTAATTAAAGTAAAATAAAAATAAAATTAAAATCACGACGTTTCGGAGGCAACACAAGCCGCGGTCTTCAGGTGGAACCGTCACAGCACGATAGCTGTATCAAGTGAGAGAAATTCCAAAATTCCCAAAAAAAACCTTCAAGAGGAGCACCGCACCTGACTTATCGGAGGCCCTGAGGCCCTGGGCAGTGGTGCGATCGGGGCAAACGCAGGCCGGCACCTTAACGGGTTTTTCTTTGGGTCAGGTTGCGTAAATACAAATGCGTCGTTAAGCCACCACCACCCGACACAGCCAATTAGTAAGGTTTGTGATGTAAAAGAAAGAAAAAAACGTGGCGATTAGCTATTACTCGAGGCAAATCGCCTGATGAAGCTGGTTGCTGTAGTCACCAGCAAAACGTCACGGTACTTGGTTGCAAATGTTGACGGTTTACTCTGCAACTCGCCGGTGTGCTGAAGTAGAGACTAACTGGCACGTTTATATTGACGCGATCTTACCCAAAAAAAAAAGTTCGTTATTACGAACAATATTGGTTGTGAAAGCCTACGCGCTAACCTGGGGCCATAACCGCTTAGCTTATGTTTCTCATTGGAACAAAAACAACGGGCCCGGCACAACGCGCCGCTCTTCAACAGGCGAGGGGGGCAAACAAAAATCGACAGGAATTTCCGAGCAGCGTGTCGGCGACAGGATAGAAGAGGTACAATAGCGCCCGCCTGCCCCAACCAAAGTGGGGGAACGCGCAGAGGAAGAAACCGTTTGAACTTTTCTATTTAACAACACGCGGCAGCGCTCCGTCAATTACCAACACACGGCGTCGCTCTGTTGACGGCACGGCAGGCTGTTCGGGATCAAGTGCGCCAAGTGCAACGCGTCGTTCAGCAAGACGGACTTTGTGATGCGCGCGCGCTCCCACATCTACCACATGGAGTGCTTCCGCTGCGAGACCTGCTCGCGCCAGCTGCTGCCCGGCGACGAGTTCGCGCTGCGCGACGGCGGCGGACTCCTGTGTCGAGCCGACCAGCACCACGGCGGCGGTGGCGGAGAAGGAGGCGGTGGCGGCGGCGGCGCCGGCGGTGCCGGAGGTGGCGGCGGCGGCGGGCTGCTCGGAACGGCGCTGACGCGACCGGGCAGTCCGGTGCACTCGTCGAGAAGTCTGCACCTGTCGGGTGAGGACGAGTCGCGGTCGCCTTGAATCCAACATTGAACACAACATTTCTTTAGAACCGAGAGTGCTGCCCTCCACTGTATAAACGAGAAGGCACTTGAAGGGTTCTGAGAGGTAGATTTGTGATATCGGCTTCCAAGTGTCATTTTCCTAACGCAAAGGGTTGCACCCGGAAAGTACATTTCATCTTCCAAAATAAAGTATTTTTTGGGGTTAGATTGCTTAAATATATAAATGTGTCGTTAAAACCTGCCACCACCCGACACAGCCAACTAGTAAGGGTTGTCACGTAAACAGAACATGCCAATTCGTCACTAGTACATCACTACCGGTGTGTTGGAGAGCCAAGCCACAACACTTACAATATAAGTACGACGTTTCGCCAGTAATTACAACTCGCTTCATCAGGCGACAGCCAGATTTGTGGATAAGTCTACCTGTTTCGTTTCTTATATAGAGGCATAGATGTGGTGACCACACTTCGGTGCTCTTGCGCAAAGTGGAGGGGGGGGGGGTTATTGGGTCAATGTACATTATACATGCACATTATGCGAGCCCTTTGACCTTGTCCTTCCTATCCATTGTGTGTATTTAAATAGCCGTACCAACGGTAATCCCTATTGAAGTACGGTGCCCTGTATAGACATGCATTTAAACAATGTATTATTTGATGATTCGCTTCCACGCAACACTAAGTCGGTAGCTATCCGAGCGGTTTAAATTACTTTGATTTCTTTCAATTTTGCTAGATTATCTAATTAGTCTTGGCCAGTAGTAACTAGAAGTTGAATTGGGATTACCGTTGGTATGCAATTTTAATACACACAATGGACAGGAAGGACAAGATCAATGGGCTCGCATAATGCACGTGCATATAATGTCCGTTAGCTCATTAATCCCGCCCCCCCCCCATCTTGGCCTCTATATAAGGAATGAAACAGGTGGACTTCTCCACAAATCTGGCTGTCGCCTGATGAGGCTAGTTAATTGCTGGCGAAACGTCGTACTCAGATTGTAAATGTTGTGGCTTGGCTCTCCAACACACCAGTGTGCTGTACTAGTGACGAATTGGTACGTTTTGTTTACGTGACAACCCTTACTAGTTGGCTGTGTCGGGTGGTGGTGGGTTTTAACGACACATTTATATATTTACGCGATCTAACCCCAAAAAAACCCTCTATTATGGATGATATTGGTCGCAAAAGCTTACGTGTTACACATTTCATCTCGTGACGTGACGCTAACCGATAGCACGATTGCGATTAAACCCGGCTAAAATGACGAGATAACAATAATAAAAGTAACATCACCGAATCCCAATTCTTTCAGGACTCGTGGGCGGTGGCATAACTGGTGGTGGCGGCGGAGTTCCAGGGGGGATTCCGAGCGGGCCAGAGAAGGCGACGCGGGTTCGCACTGTGCTCAACGAGAAGCAGCTGCAGACACTGCGCACGTGCTACGCGGCAAACCCACGGCCCGACGCGCTCATGAAGGAGCAGCTCGTGGAGATGACGGGCCTGAGCCCGCGTGTCATCCGCGTCTGGTTCCAAAACAAGCGCTGCAAGGACAAGAAGCGCAGCATCCTCATGAAGCAGATGCAGCAGCAGCATCACGCCGACAAGACGGTAACGATTGCTCGCTCCTTGTCTCCTACGCCGCCGATGTGCAATGGTACTGGCTACGGAATCCTGCATGCTAAGGCTTTGTGGTGTTGTTGGGCAGGCCTACGCAGAAAGGCTTTGTGGTGTTGTTGCCCAGGCCTGTCCACTAAGGCTTTGCGGTGCTGTTGCCCAGGCCTACTCACTAAGGCTTTGTGGTGCTGTTGCCCAGGCCTGTCCGCTAAGGCTTTGTGGTGCTGTTGCCCAGGCCTGTCCACTAAGGCTTTGCGGTGTGGTTGCCCAGGCCTACTCGCTAAGGCTTTGTGGTGCTGTTGCCCAGGCCTGTCCACTAAGGCTTTGTGGTGCTGTTGCCCAGGCCTACTCGCTAAGGCTTTGTGGTGCTGTTGCCCAGGCCTACTCGCTAAGGCTTTGTGGTGCTGTTGCCCAGGCCTACTCGCTAAGGCTTTGTGGTGCTGTTGCCCAGGCCTACTCGCTAAGGCTTTGTGGTGCTGTTGCCCAGGCCTACTCGCTAAGGCTTTGTGGTGCTGTTGCCCAGGCCTACTCGCTAAGGCTTTGTGGTGTTGTTGCCCAGGCCTACTCGCTAAGGCTTTGTGATGCTGTTGCCCAGGCCTGTCCACTAAGGCTTTGTGGTGCTGTTGCACAGGTCTATGCACAAAGGCTTTGCAGTGTTGTTGCACAGGCCTGCGCACTAAGGCGTTGTGGTGTTCATATTCTTGGTTCTTTCGGTAAAGTCATGTAGAAGGGAAATAATAAAATAATAAAAATATAAAACAATAAAGATTCTCACGACGTTTCGCACCTGAAGATGATTGCTTGTGTTGCAGTCGAAACGTCGTGAGAATCTTTATTGTTTTATATTTTTATAATTACCCTTCTACGTGACTTCACCGAAAGAACCAAGAATTTGAATCCCTGCAGTCACGAAAGCTTGAAATCAAAACTTTGTGGTGTTGTTTCACAGGCCTACTCGCTAAGGCTTTGCGGTGTCGTTGCAAATGCCTAGATGGTGAGGCTTTGCTTTGTGGTTGTGCAGAACCTGCAGGGCCTGACGGGCACGCCGCTGGTGGCCGGGAGCCCCGTGCCACACGAGTCGGCGATACCGGGGAACCCCGTCGAGGTGCAGAGTTTCCAGCCAGCGCCGTGGAAAACGCTCAGCGAGTTCGCGCTGAGCAGCGACCTCGACCAGGGCCCGTTCCAGCACCTGGTAAAAATGACCATCATCATTATCATTGTCAGCAGTTGTTACCACGGTGGCTGCAGCAGCAGTACTGCTATCATAATCTTTAGTTGTCATCATCAGCAGCAGTTGTTGCAGCAGTAGACAAAGCTGATGCATCAATGTCAATGCCAACATCACCATCAGCAGAAGCAGCTGCTATTTATATAAAAATCTACACATATGTGAGCGTGTGTCTGTGGATGCGCGTGATCTGGTGGGCAGCGGTAGTGTAGTGATTCGCTCACCCATGTTGAGGATTTGGTCTAACAGACTGACTGTTTTGTCTTTTATGTAATGTGTTCAACCACCACCACACTGCAGGTCACAACGCCTCACACTCTGTTTCTTCCTCGTGATCCCTCCGATCGTTTCTTTTCCCCAAGTTCTCGTAACTTTGCTGAATGCAAAAAAAATGGAGCAACTCTTATCTATCACAACTTCAATTTTACCGTTTGTTGATCACCACTCAGCATTTCAGGCCTTTGGGCCTGTGCTCAGCAGCTGTTATATATACAGGAAGTCCTCTAACGATGTAGATTCGTTCCTGAAAAGTGCCGCGTTAAGTGAAAAACGTGTGAAGCGACTATAATTTCCCCATAATTAACGTAACGATAAAGTTCGGCAAGTTACGATGTACGTGCATACACGGTAAGATGGCGGGACAAATAACTTAGGGTTTGTCGCCACGTTACTTTATCGTTCTGCCTACTGCATCACCATACCGCTCAGCCACGCTGCTCAAGAAAGTAGTTCGTCATTGACCGCTCAGAAACTGCGTTATAATGGCGCACGTTCTGTGTTATAATGGAGTGCATTCTGTATTATAACGGAGCGTGTTCTGCGTGATAACGGAGTGCATTCTGTATTATAACAGAGAGTGTTCCACATTATAACAGCGCGCGTTCCGCCTTACTAGGCCGCGCGTTCCGACTTACAACGGCGCACGTTCAATGTTGTATGGAAGGACAGCTGCTGGAGAAAACGCGTTATAGTGTGAGTACTTAGCGTGTGAAGATCCACACGGGGGAATCTTTGCCTCTGCTCAACGTCTCCCCTCCCTCTCGTCGTTAGATGGGGTTCTCTGATGGGGGACCCGGATCGAACTCCACCGCAGGGAGTGACCTGGGCTCCATTCCTTCCCAGCTCCCGGACACCCCAAGCAGCATGGTGGCCAGCCCCATCGAAGCCTAAAACAACAACCCAACGTGGCCGCGAGAACCATGACCACCTCTACGATGACTCCGAGCCTCTTTCGCTCCACGCCCAGCAGCTAAGCGAGCCTCCTTTAAAGCGCTTCTGCTCAACGCCATCAGCCCAGTTGTTTTTTACGTAGCTTACGGAGGAGGCATTGAAACTAAATTATATTACCACGGGGGGTGGAAAATCGGCTGTTGCGTCATGGACAGCGATAACTGTTAAGTTTGGGTGGTGAAAAAATGAATTTGTTTCGTCAGAAGAATGAACGTAGCTTCGTTCTTCCGCCGTTCGGGAATATAAGAGCCACTTGAGGTCATCTTTTATGTTTATTTACATCTCAAACGAAGAGGTCATCGATTAATCCACAATTTTATTCAGGAATCGTTCGACTGTCAAGCCAGTCAGTGAGCATCCTTTATTTTAACCAGGGGACGAATTCAACCTGTTGCGACACTTGGCACGTTACCTCTTGTGCAAGGGTGACCTGGGTATAGTCACGGCTGCGAATAGCCGTGGCTGTGGCACGAAACAATTATTATTTTTGTTGTTTTTTGTTTTATCGGAAGACACGGCGAGCTGGGGAAAGTGCAAGAATGAATTACAAACGACAAAAAATTGTAAAAAAAAATAGAAAGAAAAATGTGAACGGACGTTCAGAATCACGCTGCATTTCCCCGATCCAACCGAAGCCACTTTTGATTTATTTATAACTGCGTTACGACCCGCGGCTGAGACGCCCGCAGCTTCCCGACTTGGCGCGAGGAGGCGTCGATGTAAAAAACAAAAATCGGCGGACTAACAACCGAACCGTTAAAGTTTGACTCGCGACGGTCGTGAAGATAATCGTCCGCAACTGTTACTCCACTGTGTACGCGTGGGACGAAGAGCCACCGAAAAACTACAAATGTGAAAATTCTCAACTTGAAGGAATGGGAAGGATTTGAATAGGGTGTGGGGAGGGGACTGGGGGGGGGGGGGCGTATGGTCATATATAATTATCGGAGATCCGTTCGTAAAATGGCTGTGGTCTTAGTGACTCGTAGCACTTTAAAGGCTCCATGTCCATTCATCTCAAGCATGCTTGGCCTCAACACTTGATAGCCATTTTGTAAATTGACTGCGTTGGATTTTATGACGTTGACATTATTGATCGTGGCAATGGTCTGATGGACTGGTGATAAGTGTGTGTGTGTGTTTGCGCGTGTGAATGTGAGAGCGAATTAAACCAAGGTTTTTCTACACGAGGTTAATCCACGCGGTGAAATATTCTCTTCTGCTGTTACTGTATTCTCCGGATTTTTGACAGCGCTCTGGAAAGTAAGAAATGCCCCCCAACTTTTGCTTTGAAACACAGGGGACAAAGGGTGTCTTTAGTGTGTTATAATCAGGAGAATAAGGTATCATGCCCGCTTTTCTCTCTGCTTGCGAACCGAAGACCCCTTTTACAGTAATACCTATGCCGGCCTGAAACATCCAGAATGGCTTGCCTGTGATGCATCCTGGGTTTAACCAGACTGGGTTGTACGAGGAGCTCAAACGTTTTTGAAAGATCTGAAAACAATTTCCATCACGGTGAGCTCCTGCGACGGATAAGGTTGCATTGGCTGGGTCGTATAGCCGGCGTGGCCAGCCTACCGCATGCCCAATCAGCTTCTGAATGACCAGTTAGAGGGGGCTAAAAGGGTGCGCCACGGGCTAAAAGAGAGATAGGCCGATGTGGTACAAGAGAATGTGGAGCTGAATGGACTTGTCGATGATGGGTACCAGCGGTGTCAAGATCAGCCTCTGTACAGGATGCTCGTGGGCATTCGGAGGCAGCTGCCCTCCGACAACAACGGAGGGCGGAAGAGACGCTCACAACAATGAGCGGAGTACCGGGCGCCTAAAACGGAGCAAGTTGGCACAGTTGGCAGCACAGGTGGTGCATCTGCAAGTCATCTCAGTCAATACATAGCAGCTGAGTCTGTCCTGTAACCTCCTCCCGGCGAGCCCTCGACTCTTCACGGTGACTTGATGCGCACCTATCCTGGCACAAGCGCTGTGGAGATGTCACCGCCACTTAGCGGCGAATGACGGCTGTTGTTGATGCTGTTTGTATGTGTGTCTGTGTGTGGTGCATATTAATATTCAGAAACAGTAAGTATCGAATGATACATAAACACACATTCTTATATTTAAGTTATTATTATTTAATAATCAAAATGTGAATTTTATTTCATTTATTAGGTTATATTCGAAAGGAAGAAACGGGGAAAACTCTTCAAGAAGTCAAACATTTGCGTCGCCCACATTTGTAAACTGTGAACGAGAGGGAACGTCTCAATTTCAGCCCGAGGCACTCAACAGGGTTCACGATGAACACTGCAGAGTCACCAATCCAGCACTGCCAAGAGCCTCAGTCAGAATCTCGGTTTCAGCCAGCCACCTGCTTATCGATCCGGGGATGCTCCAATGCAGTGAGTTTCACACGGTCTGAGCCCGGTCACCGACGGCTGCAGACAAAAAGAAAATTTTACTCAATTCGTTTGTGTCTCTGCCACACTCGGCCTAGCTCAAAGATGAAGAGCGACGTTCACAAGCACCTCTTGGATGGCTGACAACGGGACAGCCCAATCTGTACCGAGTCTGGTGTTGAGATAGTGGCTGCTATTGGAGTGAGTCCTGTTGGAGTGACTTCTATGGGAGTGGCTCCTATTGGAGTGAGTCCTATTGGAGTGACGTATATGGGAGTGGCTTCTATTGGAGTGAGTCCTATTGGAGTGACTTCTATGGGAGTGGCTCCTATTGGAGTGAGTCCTATTGGAGTGACTTCTATGGGAGTGGCTCCTATTGGAATGAGTCCTATTGGAGTGACTTCTATGGGAGTGGCTCCTATTGGAGTGAGTCCTGATGGAGTGGCTTCTATGGGAGTGGCTCCTATTGGAGTGAGTCCTGATGGAGTGACTTCTATGGGAGTGGCTCCTATTGGAGTGAGTCCTGTTGGAGTGACTTCTATGGGAGTGGCTCCTATTGGAGTGAGTCCTATTGGAGTGACTTCTGTTGTAGTGGCTCCTATTGGAGTGAGTCCTATTGGAGTGACTTATATGGGAGTGGCTCCTATTGGAGTGAGTCCTATTGGAGTGACTTCTATGGGAGTGGCTCCTATTGGAGTGAGTCCTATTGGAGTGACTTCTATTGGAGTGGCTCCTATTGGAGTGAGTCCTATTGGAGTGACTTCTATGGGAGTGGCTCCTATTGGAGTGAGTCCTGTTGGAGTGACTTCTATGGGAGTGGCTCCTATTGGAGTGAGTCCTGTTGGAGTGACTTATATGGGAGTGGCTCCTATTGGAGTGAGTCCTATTGGAGTGACTTCTATGGGAGTGGCTCCTATTGGAGTGACTTCTATGGGAGTGGCTCCTATTGGAATGAGTCCTATTGGAGTGACTTATATGGGAGTGGCTCCTATTGGAGTGAGTCCTAATGGAGTGACTTCTATGGGAGTGGCTCCTATTGGAGTGAGTCCTATTGGAGTGACTTCTATGGGAGTGGCTCCTATTGGAGTGAGTCCTATTGGAGTGACTTCTATGGGAGTGGCTCCTATTGGAGTGAGTCCTGTTAGAGTGACTTCTATGGGAGTGGCTCCTATTGGAGTGAGTCCTGTTGGAGTGACTTATATGGGAGTGGCTCCTATTGGAGTGAGTCCTATTGGAGTGACTTCTATGGGAGTGGCTCCTATTGGAGTGACTTCTATGGGAGTGGCTCCTATTGGAGTGAGTCCTGTTGGAGTGACTTCTATGGGAGTGGCTCCTATAGGAGTGAGTCCTATTGGAGTGACTTCTATGGGAGTGGCTCCTATTGGAGTGAGTCCTATTGGAGTGACTTCTATGGGAGTGGCTCCTATTGGAATGAGTCCTGTTGGTGCGACTTCTATGGGAGTGGCTCCTATTGGAGTGAGTCCTATTGGAGTAACTTCAATGGGAGTGGCTCCTATTGGAATGAGTCCTGTTGGTGCGACTTCAATGGGAGTGGCTCCTATTGCAGTGAGTTCTGTTGGAGTAACTTCTATTTTAGTGGCTCCAGTTGGAGCGGCTCCACAGCTCCTGTTGAAGTGACTCCTATTCTAACTTTCTGATCCCTCCCTAACTGGACATCTGTGAAAAAGAGCTTCATAGCTCATCGGATTTCTCCAGGATAAATACAGATTCTGATTGACGTGGGTCTGTGGCATCATCTTACGTTTCGGGAGACGCGAAGGTGGTGGGGGGGGGGTGAGGATATGCCGCCTGTAGGAGGTTCACGTGGGCAAGACTCGAGACTCCAACACACGATCGCTCACAGCAATACCTGATGTTGTGAGAAATCAACGCACGCCCCAGCGCTGTTTGAAACTTCGCCCCACATCACGGCAGCCGGCAATGCAATGGTCAACGAGCGGTCACGTGACGGGTCTCGCCGATTCAACGGTTTTAAAATAACAAAATTTTTTTTTTAAAACCGATAACTTACGCTCACGGCAAACCGCATCGTAACCGCGCGACGCGTGATGAACGGGTTACTTACAACTTATGCAAGCGACGTGGTGCAAACCGTCCGGTAACGTCACGTCGTAGGTAACCGAAAGCAATCGTAACCGACACGGAGTGGGGAGCGGTGGGGGCGCGCGGGGGGGAGCGAAAATGTGCCGTGATGAAATGATACGAAACAATAACAACAACAAAACGAGAATGAGTTCGCTCTGAAATTCGGTCGTCGGCCCCGGAATTGTGGAGATCAGTCGAATCGCAGGGGACACTAGGGGTGGGGGGGTGGAGCAGAGAAAGGACCGTGCGGGAACATTAAATGCCAAATAACGCCGACACTGCGACGGTTAATCGCAGCTGTCCTGCTGCTGCTGCTGCGTAGTTCTCTGGAAGGTGGTCAGATCACCCTCTCTGGAGGGTGGCCAGGTTGATGCCGCCGGTTTGCTCGGCACCGCGTCCGTCGTTTCGCTCCGCGTGCTGCCGGGAGGTTTCTCCACGAACCGAATAATAATAATAAAAAAATGTATTATAATAATAATAAGAAGTCGAAGAAGAAGAAGATGAAGAAGACGTTCCCAGCAATGTCACGCGCATCGTCAGGTCTCACGTCGAGTTTTGTTTAATCGTCGGATGAGACCAACTCAGGAGGCCATGCAAGTCTCGCTTTTTTGTTTGTTATGACGGTGACCCCGAGTCACCAACGTGGTAAAAAGCCAAAAACAAATAAAATACGGCGTATGGCGCGTGGAGAGAATCAGAGCATACAGAGGAAACCGACCACGCAATCACAGGAGAAATCGAAATGTCGCACGGACGTAAGTCCTCTGATTAGCACGGTTGGTTGTGTACGGTGCGAAAGAAGTTCGACATGGATAAAGTCTGTTCCCCTGTAACGCGGTAGTTGTCGCGTTCCTTAAGAACACCGCGTTCTGGAGAAATCGCATTTGAATAAATAATAGCATAGGGGTAAAGCGCAGTCCACGATAACACGTGAGATGCATACGTAGGCTGAACAAAGACCAAGGCGCGTGGGTAGCATCTAAAAGCATCCAGCAGTATCCCGCCTCGCGCGATGGCGCTCCGCCGAGGCAGCCGCTACCACCGGTCATTCCTGCTCGCGCTGCGACGTGGTTCCGCTCGCTCGATCACGTCACGTTCAATCGCATCCAATTCGCATGAAAACACGCGGTACAGGAGAACAGACCGTGCATACAAATCGTTCGTTAAAGACCGCGCGTCTCCCGTAGCGTGCTCGCAACTCGGGAGTGCACCGCGAGCACGCGGCGGAGAGCCGTGGCAACGATCGTGCTCGCAAAACCGTTGAACACAAAAAAATGATGATCGGAATCTTAGAAACTTGAAAGAGACGCGATGTTTGTCGTCGTCGTGCCATGTGCAACACGGAAGCGGTGCGAGATGTGTTTTAGAAACTGCGCGGGTGACAACTTTGCGATGGCGGACAGCACGCGGTCGTCAACTTGAGCCGCAATGCAGGGAGGATCACAGTTCGAATCCCCTCCCCAAGGCGCCTGGTGATGCCCGCGGTGGTATTAATATCGCAACGGCCAGGACCGAATGAAGGCGTTTAATTGGGCCAGGCGGCTGTTATAATTTTAGAGTTCCCTGCTGTGTACATTCACTTCCTCGCCTTGACTGTCTCACAAGCCACCGCCATCGCCATGCCCGACGTCTGCCAATCATTGCATTGCCCTTCCCCTCGGTGATTTTAATTTAGAGTTTTTTTAATGTGAAACTGGACAAAATTGTGACCCTGAATCAAGAGTAAAATCGAACAAAAAACTGCTTGCTTTTGGTTTCGGGACATAGCTGGTAGCATTACACATGGCGATGTCCTGCCGGGTTGCCAATAGGATTTATCGTAGTGCTACAATATTGAATTTCAACTGTTAGAAAGCTCTGGCTATATATGCTTTATTCCGTGGGTGGGGGGCTGACAGACCCTACAAATCCGAGACCACCAGGGGCTGCGGCCCCCTGAAGCCCCCGCGTCAAACCGGCGCTGGCTACCACTCACACGGCGACGCAAAGGGCGCAACGCTTCGCTCGCGATCAGACGAGTCGCAGGTTCAACTCCGGGTTGGGGAGCTTAACTCGGGCCCATCGGCCACCATCGTTTGTAAACTCCTGGCTCATTATAATACGGCACCGCTTTTTTGTTGGTAAGTCAGCGGTCGTTGTGCTTTGGATGGACTCGTCTTCGGCCATAGGAATGTGGAATTTTCATCACTCTCTCAGAGTCGCCCCGTGCTCGTTATTGCAGGGACCTTGTGATGTCGCTCACAAGAGTAAGCCGACTGTGTGTCGAAAAAGAAATGTTTAATTTACCAACAGATCGTGACAGGTCGCTTGCGGTGGGGTAAAGTTGTAGGGAAGTTACTCCCACCACAATCAAGACGTCTGGCTGGCGTGGACGTGTCGGCTGCACGCCGTCCAGAGCGGGTTCTTACACTCTTCCACCAGCAGTGGCACGAGCAGGCAATTTCAGGGCTGCACCTTTACCTCTTAAAACCCTACCCTGTCTTGGAGTAACGGAACAGGGGTTAGCGCTGCGCTGCGAATCCAACACCCGAGTTGAATTCCTGGCCGCGGCTATGATCAGTAGGGAGTGATAGCTGAATTGGCCCAAGGCCCCTTCCTCCTGCTCTTCACCAATCCGGAGTGACCAGGATGGTGAAATATGGTCAAACAACCACATGGTCGACATGGCATGGGGAAGCCTTTACCCACTCGTAGATAGACAACTGCCTGTAAATGATTACTTTCTTATTTATAATTTAAAGCATGACAATCCTGGCATTTACAATGTCGTGTTGGAAGTTCCACATTCCCATGGCACGGACCAGTCCATCCAATCCACGACGACCACACTCGACTCCCCAGATCTTTGGTGCTCATTTGATTTCCCTCCCAGGAATTTCGTGTCAGCGTAGGGCATACAACAACATTGTTGTACTCTCCTATGCTTTCACGTCTATGCCCCCCCCCCCACCTTCACCGATCGTGGTCGAATAACCTGCCCGGGAGCATTGGGAAGGCCCTCATCCAGCAGTAGATTTACCGTACACGGTTAAAAGGAACAATGGTAATCGTGACTGACGCTCTTTCTGAAATGAAAAAAAACGCGAAGCATTTAACTTTTGGCCGAAACTAAAAATAAGCAATGAGTTAAAATTCACTGCTGCGCAAAGCAGAGGAGGCGGGCGGGGGTTAATATTTGAGCTTATTTTTCCAATTACTTCTGCCGGAGGATCTCTGCAAAGTGTTCATGAAAATTGTTCGCACGAAAAAAAAACAACCCCTCTGTAAATGGCAGGGACCGAAAAAATAAAAAATGGTAATGAATGAGGATCCCGCGAGAGCATGATCTACTGCGACTTGTAATTGCATACCGTGTGCTCTCTTGAAAATTGAATTGTCCAAATATAATCATGAATTACATAAATTATCTTCGCCCCTTTGTTTACCGGCTCAAACCATGGGCAGCCGCAGAGAGCGCCGTTTAGCAATTTCCCCGGGCAGGATTTGTTGCCGCGTTCAGCCGGGTTTGGGCACGAAGAATGACATTTCACGGAAAATAGATATTTAGATTTTCTTACAATTGACCCTTCGGTCGAAAGTGAGGGAGCCAATGGGTGAGTAGGCTTGGTCCATGATCAATCGAAATCGTTCGTACGGTTGGTATTTGCACCGCTCTTAACTGCGCGAGGCTATCGCGATGGGCGCTACGTTTCACAGGCGGGTGGGGTCTGCGGAAGAGGGATGTTTGATCCGATATTCTGGCCTGAAGACGAAATTTCGGACTAGCCCTGGGGAGGAATAGGTTCAGTTTTGGACTGGTCTGAAAGTATGAGGTCACAGGAAGTGACGTCCATTCGACGACGCCACTTCCACGCACTTCCCGCCAAAATCGATGTCACGTGGCGGAGGGTGACGTCACTATCGTTAGGGACTATGACGTTTCAAAGCGAGCGGATAGTACAAACGATCTCAACACGTCTGAAAAGTAAAAACTATTTTTTAAAAAAATTTCAATTTGTCTCTTAAAAATACTCCAGTCGCGAGATCAAAATTTTTTTTTTAAACGAAACTCATGTCTCGTCCTCGGTAAGGCGCGTATACAATTGGCTGACGTGCGAGGCTGGTGAAGGAACGACATCGTGTGTGAGGGGGGTGGGGGGGCTCCTTCATCCAGCAGTGGATAGACCGTGGCTTGTAATCACAATCACGACGATGATGATGACGACGTTGAATGATGTTTTCGGACACACAGATGAACGCACAAAATTACGTCCACGTTGAGACAATTCGCCGTGAAGTCATCGTTAACTTATTTTCTCTTTGTTGCTATTTAATTTCTATATTTAAAAAAATGTGTCTCTTCCCCCCCACCCCCCCCCCCCTAACTTATGGATGTAAAATTGTATTTTTATTGATACGCGACAAATCGCACGCGGTACGTTTGTGACACAAATCATCCGTTGCGGGTGGTGCGGGTGATAACCGTGCAACAAGTTGTGGAATCTGGCGGAGGAAAGAGGTGATGGCATCAGCGGCAGCTGGTGACCTGGCTAAACTACGACGGGCTGCCCGTTGGCGGCTTCTGAGCGACATCGGTGGGAATTCCACGTTCCTATGGCGGGCACCGGTCCCTTCGTAGAGCCACCAATTATTCCCCCCCCCACCCCCTCACGTATACAAAGGCAAATGTGCAGCCCTGCCATTGCTCACTCGCTCCACTGCTGGAGGAAGGATCTCCACTCGAGAGAGCTCTACAGAGAGCTCGAGGGAGTTTCTCGAGGGGCTCTTGGGCTGCTCTTCGATCCCTGCCAGAGGTGGGAGTGACCCGC